AGGATGTTTCATATGCCCAGTATAGTTTGCTGAACGGGCCACATCAGTAGCAAAACCTGACAACTCTGTCCATCTTTGGGGTAAGTATAAGTTACCCACTTAGACAGATACACTACCCACACATAGAAGACTCATTTGAAAAGCTGGCTGGGGGTCACATATTTTCTAAATTACATGAGACATGCCTAGCTCCAACTGAAGCTTGAGAGGTCATCCAAGAAGCATGTTACTATCTATACTCACAAAGGTTATATGAGTGCACTCACTTGCCCTTTGGAGTATCTTCAGCCTGTGCCATCTTTCAAATGATAAAGGAGAACACTCTCCAAGTGGTACCCACAGCGGCAGTCTGTCTGGATGATGTTAATCTCAGGAGCTACTGTAAAGGAATGTGTGCAGAGTTTGGAGGAGGTGTTAAGGCATTTTTCTGAGGCCGGCATCCAGCTAAAGAGTGAAACGTGTGTGTTCTGGGTAATCGAGCTAACATACCTCGGCAAGAACAGATTATACCCTGTTAAAGAGAAAGTCATGAGAAAAAGGGCTCTGACTCCAAGGCGCACAATAGAGTTAGCATTTTTCCTAGGTCTCAAAAATTACTAGGGGAAGATACAATCCACATAAGGAACCTGCAGCTCCACACCTTGTTATCTCAGACTCCAGCATCGGCAGTTCCTACTATCTCTAACTAACTTTGGTGATGGCTGTCCAATGATCCCAGGAGTTATCCTTAACAAGAAAATAGGAACGGTATTGTAGATGGTCAAAACTGGGGAAAAGCACAAAAAAAATCACCTCAATCAATTCGGGCATGAACCCTCCACAGAGGTGATTGTTTCGATGGACTGCCCACCTAGGATGAGCCTCCTGCAGTAACCCTTCGCCAATCTTCCTGGAAGAGACGTTCACCTACTTAATATGTGCCCCTGGCCAGACCAGAGCTGGAATATAACAGGAATGGGGCCATGGACAATGTGACATAAGAGACCCCATCATCACAGGAGCAAGGAGGAACCAACAGACCTGGAGGGGGAGGGTCATAGATACTACAAGGCCTATGGGAATCACTAATTACTGTCCCTGCGGAGTTCGTCGAGTATGCATTCTTTTGGTAACAGGCAATGGCCAACCCAGCTAGAATTCACCACCTGAGCCCTTCATAAAGCAAACCCAGGGTTGGCACCATGAGGGATACAGTGCTTTATTGTCCCCTCCAACTCTAATTTAATTTAATCCCTTCCCTCCCTCTCTACCTCCCCTGCACTTTTGATGGCTTGCATTGCCCACAAGAGGCTTTGTAAGTAAACATTTAATTGCTTACATAGAGGATTACTGGTGATGATTTGTAGGTTACAAAAACAAAACAAAGTCATGGTCGTGGGAAAAGTTGCTCAGTTGTGAGTGATAGCACTTCTGGGTATAAGAACTAAAGAGCAGACCTGTTCCAGGCTGGAACTAGCCTACGAACACCACAAGTTGTGGCTCTATTTCAATGTTCAGCAATAAAGAATGTTCCTTTCCAATTGGGCTTCCTGAGTTATATAGGCATAATTTCATTTTTTTTTCCCCAAATGCAGTCATGCATTGATTATCCATAACACCACTGAAATCTTTAGAGGAATACAAATAACATCCCTTCCAACTTTTCTCTTTCTTCTCCCTTTCCCACCCTCTATTAACATTAGACTGAATAGCCAATTCACCTGTTTCATTCCTCATTGACTTTTTGACTATGAAGACAAATTTAGCTAATTTCCATCTTCATGTATAGCTATCCCATTGGACTCTTGTGGTGAAATGATAGAGTCTGTGCCTATGACTGGAAGGCCTGGGGTCAAGTCCCAGCTATTCCAGAGACCGGTAATAACATCCATGAAAATATCTACAGCTATCCATTTTTAGCAATAATTTAATGGGCTCTTGTGAAGAAGATCCAGTTTGGACTCCCCCACCATGGCAGTGTGTCACATGTCTGAAAGTGTTGATTAAAATAGAACCTACATTTAGCAAATCCCTAAAAGCCTGAAACAGTCTCTCTCCTACTCCAATTACTCAGACACTCCATTTGTCTTTAAAACTTTTTAATTGTTGTTTTTTATCTCAGCATTAAATGAGGGCGGATTTTGTCTTTATTACATTAGGTTATCAGCATTGCCCAAGTATTGTAAAGTAGCAAAAAAACGAATGGAAACATATTACTTATGTTTTCTTCCTCCACCATACTGTGCCAGAATTTGTTAGAGTGATAGATGATACAGTCATTCCTGAATGAGATAGAAGGACTTTTTTTTTAAATCCTCCTGTTTTACATTTCTGATCTCTGACCTTTTGATGCCTCAGTGAAGACCCTACAAGGAAATCTAGCAAAATGTTATGCACAAAATATCCTTCAGACTGTGTGGAGTCGTAAGGGCAGCTGAAGATGGAATTGGAGAGCAGAACAATTCATAAAGACTTTCTCCTCCCACAAAAGATGATCTTCAAAACCTTGGGACTTACAGCAGCAATCCCTCATATAAAGGACTCATATGCAAAATGGGCATGGGATGGGGGGATGTGCTGTCCTTCATGAAGTTGGACGTGAGCCGTATGTACCCGTAATTGCGGTTAGATGAGGATTTCTAGAAGTATGCTGCAATTAATACCAATAAGGATTTGTACCAACACATGAGACTGCCTTTTGGAATGCCATGAGCCTGTGACGAGGAGGAACCAGACCTGGTGCGAAAATGCCCCAGCAAAAGCTACAGGAAAAAAGAACAGGCCTACATCCCAAGACTTAGAGGGAGAGGGATGTAGTGATTGGAACAAGGTCAGCCAGGCAGACCTCATTGAGTATGAGCGTACTGATTGGGGCTGTTAACCTGGTCCAATCAGGTAATCCTGGCTGACGGATATAAACAGGTATGTCAGGGGTTCCGTTCACTATAGGCGCCAGCTCTGTGCTAGCTGGGTCAGTGTCATTCATGTATGTGCATGAGTAAATAAAGGATGACTTGGTGATGGGATACCAGCCTTCATGGAGTTATTTCAATTTTATTATTTTTACAAGTTAGCTGCACTCAAAGAATCTTCATGAGAAACTGTAATCTTTGGCTTGGGGATAAGAAGAATGAGTAGATATAATGCCTGCATTTAAAATGTTGAGATATGCATTGTGGATGTGATCTGTTTAACTTCAAATTACTAGAATAGGTGATGAGTAGAATTAATAAAATATCAGGGAGTCTAAAAATGAGAAAGCATGTTTTTTTATAAATGTGGGCATGCAAAAATGATTCCCAGTAAAAACAGTAAATGCTAAGGTGAAATCGTTCAAAAACAGCTGTGTAACTATTTGCTTCTGAATACAGTTGAAGGTTATAACAATACAAAAATGTACAATAATGAAAAAGCTCCATACAACTCAATGATGACAAAATTATCATGGTAAGATGGAATACCATGTAATAGATAGCTGATTACTCTGGCAGGACTATAGTAGGATGTCAAAATGGAAACATTTTCCAGTTTCACTTTATTTCCATTTTTGTGAGAAAACACACATCTTTCCTCAGGAATCTGGATGGTTGAAGTAAAATTTGGGATGCAGCATATGGTGTATAATAAGCCAAGCTCTGAACTTTCTCATTCCATACTTTAAATTCCAAATGTTAATATTATATGAATATTTACCAATAGCTGCCAGGTTACAGACATTCATGGTCTCAGGTCTCTGCCATCTTTTTCTTATGCATACTGGTACTATGAATACTGATATTAACATGCTAAAAATATCCTAATAGTTTAACAGTCGAAGTTTTTCAGTGAAAGTGGCATGGAGTCTCCATGGAGTCTTTGATTAAGCAGTAAAATATAATAGCAACTTCCAGGGAGCAAACGTTCACAATTTAATGTGCAAATTAGAAACACTCAATCTCAGTTGTCCGGCTCCTTCAGAAATCCCACTATAATAGTACACCACTGAAATAAAGGTACTGACCCACCAGGAGCACTTAGGGCTCGTCCATTTAAATGAAAGTCTTCTTTTAATAGCGTATGCTCGAATTAATGTCAAGCAACTACTTGTGCATTGAAAACCAACCTTTATAAGTGTCGCATCTCATTTCTTCAGATTTTAATTTTTGCTGGAGAGATTAAAAATGTGAATATAACTTCTTTTGTTTTTTCTTTTATCTCTTGCTTCTCATCTCTTTTTCTCTCCTTCATTCATTTTTGTAAGTAACTTTATGTTGAATTAAAATTTCAGACCTACACTTCCTGGTATAGACTCTACAGGCTAGGACTTTATATTTGGTGGTATTAAAGTGGCCAAACGCTCTACACAGTACCTACTGTCTAATTTCATTGACTGAAATGAAATAGAATATTAGGAATAATGTATAACAGGGTGCATGGGGGTTTGCACTGTCACTGGGATTAACTTGTAGCTCTGTGTGTCTTGGTGAGGATTCTTCAATCTAATGAGCATCTATGAATCATAGAATCCCTACAGTGTGGAAACAGACCCTTTGACCTAACAAGTCTACACCAACTCTTGGAGCATCCCACCCAGACCCATCCCCCTATAACCCACCTAAGCTACACATCCCTGAACACTATGGGCAATTTAGCATGGCCAGTCCACCCGGCCTGCACATCTTTGGACTGTGGGAGGAAACTGGAGCACCCAGAGGAAACCCACGCAGACACAGGAAGAATGCACAAACTCCACACAGACAGTCACGCAAGGGTGGAATTGAACCTGGGTCTGTGGTACTGTGAGGCAGCAGTGCTAACCACTGAGCCACCGTGCCGCTGCCACCTTCTTGACCTATTTGCCCTGGCACATAGTGCTCCATAGAGAGGGTTATGCAATTTTGGATTTCTAATTATCACAACTTAGAGTGCAAAATCCCATCGAATTCTGTAAGGGGATGTAATCATAATGAATGGCTAGCCTTATTCATCGATCACTGACTGCTAAATTCAGGTAATTGACTACAAGCTAAATGAACTCTTACCAAAACTGGTGTCAAAATGTCCGGCTTCATGTGTTGTGTCATTATTTGTAGCAATACTAGTGGAGCCGAGACTGGGAAAAGAAGTCTTGAATGGTGAGACGTTCATAGGTGGCTCATTGGAAGGAAATATTCCATCTGTCCTCTGAGTGACTGAGCTTGTGTCTTCCACACGCAGGACCGATCCTGCACTGCTGTGATCCAAACTGGGGGATATGCTTTGTGTTGATTGCAAACTGTCCTCCTGCATCACTGTGGTTTTCAACTGTTCCTTAGTTAAATCAGTCAACTTGTCTTCACCATTCAGGCCACGAGTAGTTGAAACACTTGTTACTGCAAAAGGAGATGGTGTCCCCAAATCTATTTGTTTTGGCATTCTTGAACTGTTTCCAATGATGCCTGTATAAGCATTATCAGATATCTGTCCGGTCCCACTGGTGGCAAGTACATGATTCCTGCTTTGATCAAAAATACCATCACCTATAACACCTGTTGAAAAAACATTGAAAGAAAAGATTAATACATCATTATGAACAAATTCATAACTTCTAAACTCTGTGCGTTTCCCTGGGCCAATAACCAAAGGGCATAGACTTGAAGCCGACAGCAGAGGGGGAAACTGAGGAGAAAATGTTTCAACAAGTAAGTGATGGGAGTTTGAAACTCACAGCCAGAAAGGATGGTGGATGTAGAAATCCTCATGACATTGAATTACACTTGCTGTAGCTCTTTTCAGTTGGTACATTCACAGCAGGTTGAATGCTGTTATACAATGTCACAAACCTCTATGAGTCTGATATAATTGGAAACCACTTAGTTTTATTAAGATAAAACTCTCCATCCAAAATGTATTAATGGGTATTTCTGTTTCCTCTAATCATTAGCAGAGGCATTAAGCTGTTTACAATTAATGGGTTAATTTCAGGACCTTATGAATATCATCAGAGCTGGGAAATACAAAATCAATTAATTAAGCTGCAAGTCAGATGTAACAGATAGCTTAGGTTTCTTTGTGACATTTTGTGATTAGTCAAACACACTCTGACTTGCATCAGGTTGCTTAGACAAATAAAATGAACAGTTTGTCTCTGCTCCATCTCTTCTCTTAAACATGATCATTATTGCTTTGTTTTTCTTACTCTTCTACTCAATTTCTCTCTTTGACTGTTACCATTCATATTCTTTCTCCTGTTATTCATCATTGTTATCTTTGCACTTTTTTCTTTGTGCTTTTTGTTTGCTTCCTCTTGATTTCCACTTCTCATATTCTCCAACAGTGCTGCCATATTTTTCTCACTCTTTTGTCGATGTTATTGACATGATAATATTTCCTTCTGGGTATGGATTGGATGTGATCAATTTCACTTGAATTTCACCTCAATTTGCAACAATTGTTTAATAAAGAGCTGCAGCTATGGAAAGCTTTAATTAGAATCAGCAGTTAGTATTAATCATTGAATCACTACAGTATGGAAGCAGGCCATTAAGCCAACCAAGTCCACACCGACCCTCCAAAGAGCATCCCACCCAGACCCACCCCTTACCCTATCTTTGCATTTCCCACCCTTGACATTATGGGCAATTTAACATAGCCAATCTACCTAACCCAGTCTTGGGCTGTGGGAGGAGACCAAAGCACCCAGAAAGAACACACACAGACATGAGGAGAATGTGCAAACTTTTCACAGACTGTCGCCCAAAGCTGGAATCGAACGCAGGTCCCCGGTACTGTGAGGCAGCAGTGCTAACCACTGAGCCACCATGCCGTGTCTGCTGCAAAAGTTTTAAGCCAGATTTTGCACATTAAGGTTTTCTTAAGTGTATGGAAAATAATTGCAATTTGACTCAACATGAACCTGTGAATTTTTAAAAAAGGACTTATTTATAATCTTCATTCAATCTCAGAGTGACATAATAGCAATTAACACAACACTCCATTTGACTTAGCATTCTTATTAAGCTTGAACAGAAATTGCATTTTTGTAAACCGAAAGAACTGTGGATGCTGTGAATCAGAAATGAAAATGGAAGTTGTTGTTGGAAAAGCTCAGCAGGTTTTGGCAGCATCTGTGAACTCAGAGTTAACATTTCAATTATAGTGACCCTTCCTCACAGAATGGTTCCGAGGAAGGGTCACTGGATCTGAAACGTTAACTCCGATTTCTCGTCACAGATGCTGTCAGACTTGTTGAGCTTTTCCAGCAAGTTCTGTTTTAGTTTTTGCATTTTCACATTCCCTCTAAGCAGAGTAGGGACTGTTAAATCATGCTGAAACCAGCTGGTGAAGTAGGAAACTGGACAGAGGGAAAAACTGGGAAAGCAGCTCAGTCGTTCCTGTTCACACGGGTTGCCGAGATGATTCGTATGAGTTTTGTGCTGTATCTTGGTTGTCCTGCTCTGGATGCTTCCATTTTTATCAAGGGGCATAGCGTGGCTGGTTCACTTGTTAAAGTTATCTGGTTTATTAGTTAAAAGTCACTACTTCCAGCAATTGTTGAAGGAAAAGTAATTTATTTCAGCCTTAAAGTGACCTTTACTGCAGAGAACAGAAAGACAGAGCTCCTAAGCTGATGAAAGTCCGCAGGCTTCTCTTGATCACAACCTCAAACTGTTCCGCTATCTGAGAACCAATCATTGTTGTTGGCAGGCAAGAGAAAGTTGCCATTGGTAACTGATCTCTAATCCACAAATCAGTCTACTACCTGTTGCTAACCAAAGCTTTATTTGTACACAACCCTTTGGCTCAAGCCCATCTACGGTGGCTCAGTGGCTAACATTGGTGCCTCACAGCGCCAGGGACCCAGGTTTGATCCCACCCTCGGGTGACTGTCTGTGTGAAGTTTGCACATTCTCCCTGTGTCTGTGTGGGTTTCCTCCGGGTGCTCCAGTTTCCTCCCACAGTCCAAAGATGTGCAGGCTGGGTGGATTGGCTATGCTAAATTACCCGTAGTGTTCAGGGATGTGTAGATTAGATAGGTTATACGGGGATGGGTCTGGGTGGGATGCTCTGAGAGTCAGTGTGGACTTGTTGGGCTGAAGGGCCTGTTTCCACACTGTAGGGATTCTATGATTCTACAACCACAGCTGTGCAAACAATGTTTGCAATGAATATCAAGTTACTTGTTTTCAAACCTTGTAAACCCAATAATTTTAAAATAGTTCTTTTTTATCTTAGTCCACAATTTATAGAACAGAAAAATAAAAAGACACAACCTTTGTTCAATCTGTTTTTATATTTCTAGCTAGTTTTCTGTTATACTCTAATTTCTCCCTTCTTTTAGTCATACTTTGCAGGATTTTCAATCCTGTCGGTTATTCTGACTTTACCAGTAATCCCCACAGAATCCTACATTTTTTCTTTCAGTTTAATATTGTCTGTAACTTTCTCAGTTAGCCACCAATGTGGCATTTTATTTCTTGAGTTTTTTTTTGCTGAAATGTATCTTTGTTGAGTGCTATGTACTATCTGTCTCTGCATCTTTATGGACCTACCCCTTTGTCCATTCCATTTAGCCAACTCAGTCTTCATATTCTTCCAATGGCCTGTATTTAATTTTAAAATGCTAGTCTTAGACCCATGCTTCTCTCTCTTAAACTGAATGCAAATTCAAACCTGTTATACATGCTGCGATCTACAGACTCCTTTACTATGAGGTCATTAATTCATCCTCTCTCATTGCACATTACAGGGTCTAGAATAACCTGATCTCTAGCTGGCTCTGAAGCACATGCATGAAGAAATTATCCCAAAAACTCCATGAACTTATCTTCCAATATACCAATCTTACTTGTTCAATCTAAATGTATATTCAAATCACCCATAAATATTGCCATATCTTCCATGCAAGATCCAATTATTTCTTATTGTATTTCCTGTCCTACAGTGTGATTGTTGTTAGGAGACCTGAGAACTACTGACTTCTTATCTTTGCTATTTTTTAATCTCTGTCCAACCTGATTCCACATTATGATATTTAGACCTAAGGTTATCTCTTACTATTATCACTCAAGCCTCCTCCACCATTTCAATATGATCAAGGCTAATCATACAGCTCAACACCCTCCCCCATAGCCCTTGGTCGTTTTAGCCACAAAAGCTGGATCTACCCCAAGTTCTGAAGAAGGGTCACTGGACTCGAAACATTAACTCTGCTTACTATCCACAAATGCTGCCAGATGTTCTGGGTTTCTCCAGCAATTTCTGCTTTTGTTTCAGATTTCCAGAATCAAAGTTCTTTGTTTTACAATAGCTCCATCATTTCCTTCTTGGAAACACATAATGTTTTGCCTCACCCATTTTCTGTGGTAGTGAATTCCACAGGCTTACCTCTCATTGGGTGAAGAAATTTCTCCTCATCTTAGGCCCAAAAATTTATCCCTTATCCTTAAACAATGGCTCCTGGTTCTGGATTCCAAAAAGGTTAGATAAATGGACCAAAATTTAATGAGGTTTAACATGGATAAGTGTGTGGTTATCCATTTTGGTCAGAAGACTACAAAGGCAACTCATTATCTAAAATGGAGAGAAACTTCAAAATGCTTCAGTGCAGATGGATCTGGGTGTCCTTGTAAACAAGTCACAGAAAGCGAGTATGCAGGTACAGTAGGTAATAAGGAAGGCAATTGGAATTTTGGCATTTATTTCTAAAGGATTGCAGTATAAAAGTAGGAAAGTCTTGCTGCAACCATACAAGCCATTGGTGAGACCTCATCTAAATTACTGTGTACAGTTTTGGTTCCCTCACTTGAGGAAGGGTGTAATTGCACTGGAGGCAATTCGGAGAAGATTAATTCCAGAAATAAAAGGCTTGTCTTATGAGGAGCAATTGAGAGGACTAGGCCTAAACCCCTGTAAGGGTGGCTCATGTTGGAAAGACAAAAAATGGCTGACAAGAGATAAGTACAATGAAACAACCTGCTCCAGCAATTGGACACAAAATGGCTGATAAGAGATCATTTAAGTGAAACGTAATGGTACCTTTGAACAGAGCTACTCCAAGGTGAATGACGGGCCATACAAGCAACCATCCGAGACAGTTTGATAAGAGGATGCCTAGGATTAGACAAGTGATTGATTCCAGCCTCATTAATGAAAGGATGTTGTCCCATTAGGTGAACAGCATCAGTTAGAACAAGGGGTATAAATCACAGCCATGAACCAGCCAGCCTAACTCATTAAGCAGCTGTAAAGACAACAGCTAAAGTTATTTTGTAGTAATTAGTTGTTTCTTTGAAGTTATTCACAATATTAAGAAATAGGTCCTAGTTAAAGATTCTTCAGATAATCATAGAAGTAGTTTTCAACACAAAGGGTAGATACACATATAACCAAACACACATTAGAAAACAATCATTTAAACCTAGATGTGAATGTTAATTAGCCTTAGGAAATGCCTTATCTTACACTTTGAGCAAGATAGACTGTTCACAACCCATTAATTGTAAAGCGCTAACAGTAGAAGTAGCTGTACAACTTTACATTTTATAAC